TTTTTTTCCAAAATCCATCATTGTGTAAACCTGCGCTCAATGCTGTTCCTTTGTATGTACCCTCGCCTTATACAGGAGTAGCAAGTAAATGTATGTTTTCTAGATTTTCTTTGGAAGAAAATTCAGTTAGATTTGTCATCAAGAAACCTAAATTCTCAATGCACTTCCATAGTTATCTTCTTTCAAGCAGATTGGGTTTATATATGTTACATATTCACTAAAAAAAAAAAAGGCTAAATTTATCATTAAAATAGTATGTTCACCTCTTTCTAAATAATACTCCGGTATAAATTTAAAATATTATAATGATGGATTTTTTTCAAAATCTAACATTAACTTCAAAACAATGGGTGTACGCCTGGACTAGAATAAGACAGTGGGTGTAGCCCCTAAGGCTGAGCTGACCATATGTTTGTATTTGCAAGGACTTGCCAATTGGTTTTCTTCATCACATCCATGTCATATAACTATTCATCCTTCAAGACTAAACCATTCCTTCAGGCTTTTTGGCTGCCTTAGAAGAGTCATCCAAAGTCGTATTTCTAAGAGGGCAACCTCTTATATGGTTCCAACGCTTCATCTAGTGATGCTTTGTCTCACATGGGAAGGCTTTCTCCTCGGTTTCCTTCAATTTCGGATGGGTTTAGTCTTCTTTGGTTAACGCCCCTACTCCTTCTTAGCAAACGTAGCCTTTGCGGCGTATGTCATTAGTCATCCCCGCCCCTCTTCTTATCTGGACGTATTTCCAAAACTATAGATCGAAGTCGAATAAGTTCATGAAATTGGCTCGGTAAAGCCTACCCTCTTGTAGAAGAGTTTATTGCAAGAATTTCAATGAAATAGTGTGTGTAGTGAAACAGTGTGTGTATTGACTTCAAAACAGAAGTGTCCAAATAGTGTGTATTAGCAGGAGTGTGGTGGGTTGGTAAGAGTTTAATTGGGGGTATAATAGTCATTTAGGTTATATGATATTTTGAAATAAATGTGATTAGAAAATTAGGGGTAAAGTTATCTTTTACCATGTTTTTAATAGATACAGTAACGAAAAAGCGAAAATGGACTTAAGTGATAGTTATTTTTAAAAGATATTTGAGGTTGATATTTGGCCAAACCTAAAGGGGTGTTAGTGAAATTAACCATATATATTAATGAAATATATATACTAATGAAATAAGGGTACTAATGCGAACTATATATACTAATGAAATAATGGTATTTAAGTAATTTAGCTATCTAAACATGGCGGGGCGACCTCTCCTTGCCTCCGCACGGGTTTTTATTACATCAAATCATTCCCGCCCAAATAAGCTAAATAATTGTCCAAAACCGTAAAAAAACGGGGCGGGGTAGGGCAGGTACCTGCGAGGGGCGGACCAAATTGCCATTCCTAAGCATAGGTTAAAAATAAAAAAAATATTTTGATTCTTTAACTAACTCATAACAAATAAAAATTTATTCATAAAATAGAAAAATAAAAAGAAAAGAAAAGAAAAAAATCAGCAAAGAAACATTAAACACTCATAGAGGACAAAATAGTCCTTTCACCTTATTTACTCTTGCTTACCCCTTCCGTATGTGAACTCCAAAAAAATTGTAAAAGTCCGCGCCTGCAAGCACTCTCAGTACTCGGATAACCTCTTACATTGCCTTCGAAAAACCCTAAATTTTCATTCTTTGTTTTTCTTCTCTTCAATTCTCGTTCTCACGCATGTTCTCAAATTCAAAAGATCAAATATTTGAGTATGGATTGATACAGAGCCTTGAAGTCATTTTTTGTTTGGTTGAGGTAAAATTTATATATTTTAATTTCATATTTTTATTGTGTTTTTTTTTTTTTAATTATATAAGTTACGGGTTTCATTGATTTTCAAATTTCTTTCCCTTTCGCCTTGATTTGTTTGATCAAATAAATGAGGAGAATGGAGATACTCCCTTCAGTGATTTTTGAAAATCAAATGCAATATTTTTTTTCTGAATTTATATTTATTTTCATGTGCAACATTATTGTGATTGGGTTATTTGAATTTATTTATTTTTTCTATGTTAAAGCTGTGATTGATAGACAATATTTTTTTTTTTTTGTGCGTGTGTGTGAGAGAGAGAGATTGGTTGGAATGGTTCTTCGACAATCACTGAAGGGAGTGTTCAGCAACTGTTGCTAGCGCTCTGAATATAAGTTATATGGGTTATTAGGTTTGCACATGACTTTTTATTTTTTATTTCCCAAATAAGGAGTTCTTGCATTCTGTTCTTTTTTCAAAATTGCTTTACTTATGTTGATTGATAGAAAAAGACAAAGAATAATTGAAATTTTATTTTATTCTATTTTTATGTTAGGTTCAAAATAAAAAATATTTTGATTCTTTAACTAACTCATAATAAATTAAAATTTATTGACAAAATAAAAAAATAAAAAGAAAAGAAAAGAAAAAAATTAACAAAGAAACATTAAACACTCATAAAGGACAAAATAGTCCTTTCATCTTATTTAATCTGCTTCTTCTGTATGTGAACTTCAGAAAATTATATTTTCCGAAAAAAAAAACTTCAGAAAATTATAAAAGTCGGCGCCTGCGAGCACTCTCAGTACTCGGATGACCTCTTACATTGCCTCCAAAAAACCCTAATTTTTCATTCTTTGTTTTTCCTCTCTTCAATTCTCGTTCTCACTCATCTTCTCAAATTCAAAAGATCAAATATTTGAGTATGGATTGATACGGAGCCTTGAAGTCATTTTTTATTTGATTGAGGTAAAATTTATATATTTTAATTCCATGTTTTTTATTTTATATATATTTTTATTATATAAGTTACGGGTTTCATTGATTTCAAATTTCTTTCTCTTTCGCCTTGATTTGTTTGATCAGATAAATGAGGAGAACGGAGATACTCCCTTCAGTGATTGTTGAAAATCAAGTGCAATATTTTTTTTCTGAATTTATATTTATTATGTGCTACAGTATTGTGATTGGGCTTTTTGAATTTATTTATTTTTTCTGTGTTAAAGTTGTGATTGATAGACATTTCTTATTTTTTTTTTCGTTTATTTTTTATTTTTTTAATATTCATTATTATTATTTTTTGTGTGTGTGTGATTGGTTGGAATGGTTCTCCGACAATCACTGAGGGGAGTGTCCAGCAACTGTTGCTAGCACTCTGAATATAAGTTATTGGGTTTGCATGTGATTTTTTATTTTTATTCAGGAGTTCTTGCATACTGTTCTTTTTTCAAAATTGCTTTACTTATGTTGGTTGATAGAAAAAGAAAAAGAAAAAGAAGAATTGTTTCAGTTAAGTAAAGACTTTTTATTTTTTTTTGAAATCATCAGTGTAAAAAACTTTGGCTGATTTTGTGTTCTATGCAGTCATTTATGTATTTAATCTTGCATTATTAATGCTTGGTTGTGGTGCTAATATATTACAAATTTCTTTTTGCAGTGATTCCTTAATTTTGTTACTATTCATTGTTGGAGAGACACTGTTTTGATCATTGCAATCAACACTGGGATTCAATTTGGAAATTTGAATTGTGCTCATCTTCAGTCCTTGCAGTTCCCCACTACGGTTGCTACTGAAAATATAGCAATGAAGAAACTGAATAACAAAATTCCCCCTGAAACGAATTGAGAGTAACTCAAGGCTGTCAGCCGGTGTCCAAGAATGATGGATGTGAGGGCAGGAATAAATCTAAGAAGTTTGGAATTAGTTCTGATGATAACATAAATTTGGATTATGCTCATAACTCAAAGGTGAAATCTTCAGCACCGGCCTCTTGCAAGCGTAGACTGCAGACAGTCAAGAGTTGAAGAGGCGGAAGATGGATCAGAGTGTGACGAAACAGTGTTTTGGCATTCTAGAAGATCGATGAATCATTAGAATGGGTGGGTTTTAATCAGCCAGTGGATCCTTAGAAATTGAAGATTCCCGATTATTTTTCTATAATTTCTGAACCCATGGATCTTGGAATAATAAAAAACCAAATTAGACAAGAATGTTTACTTTAGCATTGATGAGTTTGTGTTTGATGTGAGGCTGACCTTTCCCAATGTCAGGCTGTATAATCCTCCTAAAAATGCAGTCCATCTCATGGCTAAAGAACTAAATGACATTTTTAACACAAAATGGAAATATTTGTAGGCAAAATGGATTTGTGCCACCATACATATTGAGCCTAAGAGGTTGATGTCATCCGAAGAAAAGAAAATGTCATCCGAGGAAAAGAAAAATCTTAGAAGAAAGTTTGTGGAAGTATCAACGGGAAAGATGCCTCGGCGGTTGCAGTGTTTTCTTCAAAAGTTTGGTTTCAGCTACCAGAAAGTAGAGAATATCAAAGTGGATATTAATGCATTATATGATGAATCTTTGTGCAAGCTAGAGAGATTGATGTGAAGCAACAGGATGATAGCAACAGGATTTGGATTAGGTGGTGTAAAGCTCATCTCATTAAGTCAAAGAGTTTTTGGACTCTAAAGATTCCCCAGCCATGCTCATGGAGCTAGAGGAAGATCCTTCAACTGAGAGTTCCTGCAAAGCAAATTATGAAGCATAAAATTGGCAATGGTAGAGGCACATTATTCTGGTGGGACAATTGGACTCCTGGAGGCCCTTTAAGCACTAGATTCCCAAGCCACATTCTCACAGATGGAGGGTTCAGCATTGATATCAAAGTGGATAACTTTATTTTCAACTCAACTTGGTCATTCCCACACTGCATTGTATCAGCAATCCCAGAACTCCTCTCTCTGCCATCACCAAATTCAGTAAGGAACTATGAAGCACGGACACGGACACGGACACAGGACACGGGTACGACACTACACGACACGGATACGGTGACACGGCAAATTTCAAAAAAACAGGACACGGACACGGACACGGCCGGGATACGGCTATAAAATATATATATATATATATATATATAATTATATATTCAAAATCCACAATTCATCATCTAAGCATTTAAGAACCAAGCAAATAATTTATCACCTAAAAGTCATAAGTTCAATAACTAAAAATCTATAATATATGCATCTTTCATCATTGGCCACTGATCACATAAGATTCGTACAAATAATAACTAAACAGTTTAGTTATCAAAAAAACAAAAAAAAACTGAACAGTGATTAATTGATAACAGTGAGCCCAAAAAAGAAAAAGGAACTCTATAATCCTCTTCATTGAGTTGGATCTTCTAGAAACTCATCGTCATTTCCATCTCCCTCATCGGTAAATATCATGGCCTCCAAGTCCGGTTCATCAAGTGAAAGATTTGCAATCTCAAGTTTTCCACTGCCTTCTAAGGAATCAAATGCATCTCCCCCAACATCCCACATCTTAGTTTCACCCACGTTATATTGTGGAGTTCTCCTTGATAGAAGAAAAAGATTGGAATGTACAAATACCAAATCTTCGGCTCTTTGTGGTGCTATCTTGTTCCTCTTCAAAGATTGGATAAAAGAATATGTACTCCAATTCCTCTCACAACATGAGGAGGAACAAGGATGTCCAAGTACCTTCAAAGCCAAAGATTGGATGAGGGGTGTTGAAGCTCCATAAGAAACCCACCAAATTGCTGGCTCCATAAGTCCTCTATCATTCAAGGAATCAACCGATCCAAACTCTCTAAAACCCGCCGAAAAACAAGCATACTCTTCTTTAACCTTCCTTCTCTCCACATCATTAGTAAAGTACCTTTGGAAGCATTTTTCTCTTAAACTTGAAATCTCTTGATCTCTATGTGGAGGAACACGATTGGGAGCCTCTTGAAGCCATTGTGTGCTATAAAACCTAGAAGTGACAAAATGATAGCTAAAAGTTAATTTGACAAAAATTCAAATTAGAACCTAAAAAATGTATAAAATATTAAAAATTACCTTGGATTCAAGGAATGTGCTAAGCAATGAAGGGGTGTGTTGCTCTTACTCCATCTAGCACTTAATATTTCGCGCACCACCAAAAAGAATGGAGACTCCTCATGCTCTTGCTTTCTTTCATGATGATAAATAGCGGCCTTCACTTTAGCTATCATGGAGTCCCACATCTCATACACCAAGTGAAGACAAGGAACATCTGTATCGGCCCTCCTAAGCATATCATAGATTGGCTCAGTAAAGTTAAATATGTAATCAATATCTCGCCACCAATCATCACTTACTATTTTTGTCTTGACAGTTAAGGCCCTTTGAACATTATCTTCCCTATAAGATGTCCAAAAATCACTCATCACCATGTCTTGGAGACCACGTTTTATTTGCTTAAATCTTCTTAGCATCACAATCATTGAAGCAAAACGTGTATCCGCAATAGAAAGCATGGTTAATTTCACATTTTCAAGAAACATTGGCAATCTCATGGAATGATTCATTATAAAAATTTTAATAAACATACAATCATCGACAATAGTTGTAATCCAATGGCATTCTAGAAAAACAACTTCATTGGCATCGGTATTTTTGGCCGCACAAATATTTTTCAAAGTAAGGTTGAGGGTATGAACCACACGAGGAGTCCAAAATACTTTTGGAAATTGGACTTCAACAAGCAATCCTGCACTCCTACAAATAGGAGCATTATCGGGACCACATTATCGGGTCCAACCTCTTGAATGGTCTCCTTGATCAACTCCGAGATGAAAAATTTATCTTTGAATTCACCTTCACAATTTACCGCTTTCAAGAACATAGGACTATTTACACTCAGAGCCATAAAATTGATGATTGGCCTCCTTTGTGGATCCGTCCATCTATCACAAACAATAGTAACGCCATTTTCCTTCCAAGAATCTTAATTGGAATCATCAACCTCTCTATGTTTGCTTTCTCAGTTTGAAGAAGAGTAGTCCTCAACAAGTTGTAACCGGGAGGAATATAGCCATTAATACCATTATTAGAGGCACAAGTGTAGGAAGCAACATAGTGTGGGTTCCTTGCAAGGTGAAAAGGCAAATCGGCCGAGTAAAACATTCTTGCAATTTCACTATACAATTCATCACGAGCTCCAAGATTAAATGCTTTTTCAATCACCGAACTAGTTTTCCTCTTTCTTGGTTCAAAAACATCAAGCATAAATGGCTCACCTCCCGTGCTTACATTTGCACTTGATGAAGATCCAACTTTGCTTGACTTTGTGGAAGGTGGCAAAGGAACCTGTTTTGGCATCTTTCTCTTAATTCTTATTTCAGCTTCATTAACTAACCTTTGCATTTCAGCTATATGATCATTAGTCACTTTTTTACATGCTTGACTGCCATGTCCCGAGATTTTTAGCAAATGCGTTTTCACCCTATAGTATGATCCCTTAAAATTCCCTTGACAATAATTGCATTGAAATTTTATATTTCCCCCTCCTCCCCCAACCTTATCAAACTTTTTAACATATTTCCAGAGAGGGGTGTTATCATCAGGTTCAACCCCATTGCTAGAACCTTGCACATTCATTTTCCTAAAAACAAACAGTTATATATAAATACAAAATTGCAAATAAAATTACAACAAATAACAAGACTAATTTTAATAATTTTTTTTCATCATTCTTATAAAAATTTCAAAATAATTTGTTTTCCCCAGTGCTAACAGTGGCAAATTCCTTCCAATTCTCTAAGACTAATTCAACTGTTAGTAATGGCTTAAAGAGGCAAACTACACTAGGTAAAACGTTATAAATATAATTAAAGTGTCATCTTACCAAATACGGGCAAGTAACATTTGAATCATGTTGTGCCAGGAGATGGATAACAAGATAATTTTATGGCTTTCATTATGATTTCTCAGGGCTCCAAAAGGCAGAGAAAGTGAGGAAAAAAAGTCAATTCCAAATAATACTGTATCGTTAAATAATAAGCTATATATATATTTTTTTTCCGGTAAATTGCTTATCTAGTTCTCTTTCAGTTTCACGAAGTCTTGTACTGTTGTACAACTTGTACATGTAACTTAAAAAAAAAAAAATCTTTTTCATGTACATTACAGAGGTCTAATTGAAGAAGATGAGAGAGGAAGTGAGAGAAAAGAAACTTACTTGGTGGAGTCGTCGTAGTAGACACCGGAGATACGAAAAATCTGGTGAAGAGTTGCTATCCTTGAGCTCGTAGTCGCATCTGAGGAGAGGAATCGCCTTGTGAAGGAACGGAGGATTTGGGGATTTTGGGTCTAGGGCACAGAAGGCAGAACCGACGACATTTAGAAATTTACTGTGTAAGTGTGTAGTCTTTAGTATATATTATATAATTGTTTTATATTTTTTCAAAATTTTACTTTTAACTTCTAAAATTAGTAAATTACATTAGGTACCCATTTATCTTTAAAACAATTACAAAATAAACCCCGCCGTGTCCCCCGCGTGTCCGTGCCGTGTCCACCGCGTGTCCGAGCCGTGTCCAATAAAAAATTATTTATGGACACTCCACAGAAGTGTCGGACACGTGTCCGACCCTCGGACACAAGTGTCGGTGTCCGAAAAGTGTCTAACACTGGTACGTGACTCCTGAGAGGAATGTCCGTGCTTCATAGGCAAGGAATGATAAAATGGTATGGACAGCTTCATCTTCAGGGACTTACTCCCTCAAGTCCACTTTAACTTTTTGATTGGGGCAACAACCAAGAGTCCCTAGGCACAATCTAGTTTGGGAAAGTCCGTGATCCCTCGGATGAAGTTCAACCTTTGGCTTGTAGTTTAGTCCAAGCTTCCCACATTGGATAGCAAATCCATGGCTCAGCACGAGAACATCTGTGTTCTTTGTCGTACTCAACCAGAAACACATGACCATTTGTTCTTCAACTGCTGTTTTGTCTCACCACTATGGAGATTCATTAAGCAAAGAGCTCACTTCTACTCTTCAATTACAAATTAGGATGCCCTAATCCATTATACTAGCAATCAATGGAAGAAGAACACTGCATCTAATTTGATTCGCAAGATTTGTTTCTTCTCAATTGTCTACCATACATGGAAGGAACACAATGAGGAATTTTCAGAGGGAAGAAAACTTCACAAAGATTAGTGCTCACCCGCATCTGCAACACCATCACTTCCATCCTAAAATTGGGTTGCCAGCAGAAACTTCATGCATCGAATAGGATCCTATGTGAATGGGATCTTTTGCCTTCCTCAAGTCGCCCCCCACCGAGACCTCCAGATTGATTCTCGCCGGCAATGACGCCGGTCAGATACTTTCCTCACACCGAATTGGATTGGGGTCGCTATTAACTGCTAATAGTTTGTTAATTGCAGTTACCAGTGCTAAATTGGGTTCTGTCTTTTAAGTTTAGGCTGCCTTTGAGCTTGTCTTACTGCCACTTTGGGCTTGTTTTTGGCCTAAGGCCCTCTATGTATCCTTAATTTCAATTTATACAGTTGCTTTATCTTCCCAAAAAAAAAAAAAAAAAAAAAAAAAAAGATTGATGTGAAGCTATTTGGATGAAAGAACTATGAAACTAAGTAATTTCCATGGTACTGCTAGCAAACTTTTTATGGCTGTGTTTGGCTCTCTTTTTTTTAGGGGTGTGCCAGAGTTTTTTGACCCAAGGGGTTAAATAGCCAAATTATCCTTGGTGCTCATCAAATTCGCAATCGGCCTTTCTGTGAATCAGGTGCTTGTTGGAAGGCAAAGATGACCCCTTTCTTCAGGTTCTTTAACGCCTCAATAAAGAGGACTTTCAACACTATAAGTGAAATGGATGAAGAGAGTAAAACAAATTACATATGAAAAATTGTCATACAGATTACAAGAAGTGATTTATTCTAAATCTAACACTGTGCTACTTCTGTGAACAAAAATAAAATACAAGTAAAAGACTAAGTAAGAAATTGCAAAAGTATGAAACTCGTTGAATGATCGTGGATCCTTTGCGCAAGGCTTCCATGGTGCTATTTATAAATGTCTGGAGCAGCAATTAGTTTCAGCAGTTTCTTTTTCAAATTCAAATATTATATTTGAAATAAAAACTCCTTTTTGTCTTAAGCTTATCCAAATGAACGTGATGAACGTGTTTTTGGAATAAGACTGACATAACTTTAAATGAGGCAATTATTGACTTTAGACTCCAATTTGAATGAGAGTCCTATTAGTAACATGGTATATATCATTATTTAATAGGCTCAAGTGTTTGCATCAACTTGAAATAATCATCTATTATTGTAGCCCATTATAAAAAATTATCCATCAATTAATTAATTTTAATTAATTGGAGTAAGAACTTTTGTCAAATTATTAAGGTGTAAAAGACTGTGTGTTGCTTAGTTTAACACAAATGAAAAACATTCTCAAAATTACATTCTTTTTAAATTTCTAATTCTTTTAAACTAATCTCTATGTAATACAAAGTTCCTAAGTTCTGGTTCTCTTCCATCATTGTGTCTTTTTTCAACTCTTCATAATTAAAGTCTCTCTGCAAATTTTCATTCCCATCCTCTATTTCAATTCAAATTAGGTGATTCCATCATTGTGGGTTTATTTATTTATTTATTTATTTATTTTTTCCTTTCTAATAAATAAAAAAGACTCTAATCAAGTATGTACATCAAATTTTCACATCACATAAATTTTGGAGTGCAAAAATATGATGCTATCATCTAGTGATTAAGAATTCGTATAATATTCAAGTGTGAGGTGTTGCTCATTAATCAAGTATTTACATCAATTTATTTGTTTTTTTTTACTTTAACAAGAAATTCACAGTAATCTCTATCGGCTACCACAAGATTCATTTGTCAAGCTTTTGTCTTTGTTTTTGTTTTTGTTTTTGTTTTTGTTTTTTTTGTTTTTGGGAAAGTTAAGCTATAAGGGAAAACGTACAAGATGGGGCCAAGGCCCAAACATTGTTGTTAGGCCCAAATCAAGAGGCCAAGATCCAACCCAGTCCAAACATTAGATATCCGTATCCAGCTAGTCCACCAGTCTTGTAAAGTGTCAACGGCTCAGATATACTATTAAAAATTGGGATTATTACATATAAATGGGGTTAGGGCACCATATTTACTTAAAGGCTAAGTCAAAGTCCCAAAGTTTCTCTAAAATGTGTTTGACCCAAAAGCTGGGGTGGCACATGGAAAAATACTGTTTCATATTTCTGTTGCCTAATATACCCTTCTTCCTATTTTATGTGTTGCCTAAAATACCCTTTTGTACACTTACCTATTTTCAAGCCCTAATTGCTCATCACATTCCATTCATGCCGGCCTATCTCTCCCCCCTTCTCTGTAAACAGCAACGATCAACAAACCCCTCTCTCTCTCTGCCCTAACCCTCACTGAATTCTCTCTCTCATTCGTGCAAGAGCCGTTTCTCTCTCATCGTTGCTCTCTCTCTTTCTCAACAACTCTTTCTAAGCCAGTCCCTCCACCCTCTCTCCTCTCTAGCTTCATCGCTCTAGGAATTGAGAAACCCAACTCTTCTTTTCAGTGCAGCAACACTTGGCTTAGAAGAGGGATCAAGGGTTCTTGGTGAGCTTCAAAACCCTACATTTGTTAGTGCATTTTCATTGTTTCAATTGAATTTTTCTTTTTTTCTTTTTTCGGCTGTAATTTTGTATTGAGTTATGATGATTCGATGTTTCTTAAGCTTTTTTGTTGTAATGGTTCTTGAATTTGTGTTTTTGTACACTTGCCTATTTTCAAGCCCTAATTCCTCGTCACATTCCATTCATGCCGGCCTATCTCTCCCCCCTTCTCTGTAAACAACAGCGATCAACAAACCCCTCTATCTATTTTTAAGCCCTAACGCCTCTTTTTACATTCCATTCGTGCCGGCCTCGTGAAGCTCAAGTGTTCTCTCTCTCTGCCCTAACCCTCACTTCATGAAGCTCAATTGCTCTCTCTCTCTCTCTCCCCCTTTCTGTAACAGGTCAAGGCAAGCCATACATCTCGGCACACAACATCAGCGAACATGAAGGTCTTCTCCACTTTGTTTCTCTTTGATGACCGATTCTATTTGGTGTGAAATGAAGCCAAACCTAGGTTATATCTCTCTCTCCTTCACAATTTAATTCAAGGACGAATCTAGGGTTTGAGGTAATTTCTCTCTCTCTCTCTCTCACACACACACACACACATACACACCCGTTTTGGGTGGATCTCCCCCCGATAATTTGTGTAATTGAATCTGGTCACTGTTAATGTTTTATGTATGCTATTTAAGTTCGTATTTAACATTATTGAGTTATGTTTTGGTTCTTTTGTGGTTGTGTTTTTTATTTATTTTTATTGTTAATCTCAATTAAAATTTGAAATATTGATGCAAGATTAAATTTATATGGTAATCTCAAATTTTTTTTTTTTTTTTCATGATATTTGGTTAGAAAAATAACTATTCTATGTTTTGTGGTATTTTGTAAGTTAATTATTTTATTTTTTTGGGATCAATTTTGTTACTAGTTTAACATATTTATTTTTGTAGACCAGATATATATTATAGTTGACATGAACACAAGGTGCTAAACACATAGCACCATACACATAGAAGGTGAATCTTGTTATATTTGAATATCCTATCCTTGTTGTAGAGACATAAGTAGTGAAAAAAGTATAAAATAATAATAATAAAAAGTGTCACTCACTTCTTATTTTGCATTATATAGTATGGGTGAAATCTAGTATAGATTCAGCAAGTGTTTGACACAGTAATTCTCAGTTGGAGAAAGAGAGAGAGAGAGAGAGAGGAGAGAACCAACTAAAAGTGGGAGGAGAAAAAAATTGATTTCAAATTGTGGGCTACTTTTGGTACTCTGACTTGCATTTTGAAAATTTCCACTCAAAGGGTATTAACTGAATTTGGTGGCTCTCTGTTACAACCCTCCTGGCTTTTAGCTCATCAGCCAAACTGACATTTACTGTGTGCAATGTTTCATGCTCCCAGAGAAACCCTCTTTAAAACAGACCTTTAGAGAGAGAGAAACAGCAGCAGATTAGGAGCACGGTAGAGAGAGAAACAGGACAGTATTCTAGAGAGAGAGGAAAGGAAATCGGCATTTGAAGGAAGTGAAAAAAGGAAGAGTAATTAACTTCCAAAAAATAAATAAAAATATAGAGTAATGACAAAGGTACTGCATTTATACCCATGCCTGCGTCAAAACTAGAGCGCTTGATGATTAACCACCGCCTCTGCTACTGTAAAATATAGAGTACTTACTTGTATATACTTGTGTGTATATGTATAATTATATATATCTACACGAATATAT